GCGGCTGTTGACCTAATGCATAAACTGCCTCGATAGCTAACTTAATAGGTTGACAAGATTTCGATGCATTGTATGTCTATTTTAATAACAGGTACAAAGCAAACAAACATAGTTACATTTACCTGAGGAAAATACTGTCACATTCACATATATGGAAACACCAAGAAGCTCATTTTCATCAGTGACATCTTCTAAGAGTTGTTTTCTGGTAAGGGTTGCTTGTCCTTCACCATTAGTGATCTATAAACAAAATACAAGTGCCAGAGTTTTATGTCATATAAAAATATTAAATGCAATCTACACTTCTAATCAGAAGGGACTATTGCTGATGATGGTGTAGAGTGGAATATACTGTAGATGAGGAAAGCCAATACTTCTCCAATGCTCCAGGGCTCTGTAGCTGAATTTACCAACTTGTGATACTTGCCTTGTCTGTCTTGTGTAGTACGCAGAGAATATGACAGTTAAACAATCAACAGGAGGTAGAGACCAGATAATATTGACCAATGAGACAATCTGCATTGTCCATTAGTGTCCACATAATATGCATCAACAAAAAATCTGTATTCACACCATTTACTAGAAAATATTGTTGTTTTTTCAATCAATTATAAAAAATGGTGCAGATGATAAACCACTGGCAGGTTTAAAAATCCCAGCTCCCCATAGCCTCTCCTGGTGCCATAATTACATAGAAGGAGAAGGAAAAGCTAAGGGGGAGAAACAGAGGGAGGAGGAGGAGGTGGATTAGGTGTATAATATGATTCGGCTGATCATCTGATTCAGCTGGAGACGGCCTCCTGCACACAGTGATGGAGTTGGGGCTATAAGGCTGTATGCCTTTTCTTTTTCTTCATCTCTGCCCCTTGTATTGGACTTGAGCCGACTGTAAAAGATTGGGTGGAAGACGAAGGGTCTTTAACTCTTCATTGCTTCTTGTCTGGTCCTCCGTGGGCTTTTGGTCCCCTTCTTGAACCACTCAGGGCTGTGGTTTGCTCAGTTTGTGGCTGGTCACATTGGACGTGTGAGCACTGGCCTCTCGACTTGGCAGTTTCCCTCCATCTCCTGAGGAAGCGCCTGCAGCGCAAAACGCGTAGAGAACAGTACCCACCTTATACCATCTTCAGATAAGGCTATTTATACACATGACTTGGAGAATATCTGGCAATTGTTGTTCATTATCTATCATGTGTTCTTATCATGTACATTTATATGTCTAGATGCTACTGATGAATTTATGTCAATTATTCATCAATTTGCCATCAATTTTTGTATCATCCAAGTCATGTCTTTATTGTGCTGTATGTCTTAATCATGAATTCAATGAGTGGGTTTTGGAGGTACCTGTCTACTAGGATATGCGCATCCCTATTTTAAATGTGTAGTCTTTTTTACTATATATGTATTTAATCTCCTTGGCGGTATTCCCGAGTGTGGCTCGGGGTTAATTTTCATTATCAAAAGCTGTAACCCCAGGCCACACTCGGGATTACTCAGCGCCACACTTACCTTGTCCCCGCTGTGTCCTCCGGCTGATGCTGATCATCCGTCTTCCGGGTTCCGTCCCTTGCGAGCGTACCTGTCGCAGGGGGGGTGGAACCGGCGGCAAATTAAAACGTAAAAAAAAAAAAAATTACCGACAAAAATGGAGACAAAAATGGGTGAAAAAATGACAAAATCAGACCGAAGCAATTTTGTGGTTAATTGGATCTGTCTTTTGGTGCCATTAAAGCCCCACTTACCCTTATTCTTTGTTTAACTAATAGGGGTGTGGCACCAGTTACTCAGGATTTGTTCACAAAACTTTTTCTATTGTTTAGATTAGGTGGATAGGAGGAAGGAGAGAGGGAATAAAGGTAGAAAGGGAGGAAGAGGAAGGGAAGGAGGAGGAAGAGGTCACCTGGCTCAGCACCTACTACCTCCATGTGGCAGCACCTCTACCTCTCCTTTTTGGTTTGTCTCCTTTTTCACAAACACATCCTCTCCAGGCAAGGCCTGGGAAAGGTCTCCTTAAAATAGGTATTTCCTTTCCCAGCCCACATCACTGGCAAAAACCTCTCAGTGATTTGCCAAGGCAGAATAAATATTCATAACCTGGAACATTGTTTCTTCTAACTCTATCCACCTGAGAACACTGCCCAGTAGCAGACAAAAGCAAACAATATCTCAGGCTTAAGGAAAACCCATTTAGCTCAGATAATGTAAACAAAAGCTCAGGCTGATACAGGCTAGATGCCAACACTTAATTTTGTACTAGGGACTCTACGATTTAAGGCAAGGTGCCTACACTACTCACCAAAATTTTATTTTTTGTTTATATATACACTAGGCTGGCTAGGCAGGTTTGGCAATGTTGTGCAGGGCCGCCTTTAATATTGATTGGACCCTGGGAAAACATTTTCTAGGGTACACCCCAGAGAGAGAGAGAGAGAGAGAGAGAGAGAGAGAGAGAGAGAGAGAGAACTCTAAAACCTATGTAAATACCTCCACTCTTTGCATAGATCCATGTAGACTCTTCAAAAAATCCTTGTATAATCCAAATACGGCAACAGCATATCCATTCACATTCTCACCAAATAAATAGCTAAATTAAACAAGAACAAATATAGTACATAGTGTATCTGTATGCACATTTTAGATCTGCTATGTTGTAATGAAAAAAAACCTTAAGCAAAGTAGTTGATTTGAATGTTGCCATAAAACCCAGACACATCACAGGTGTAATTTAAATGGTGCTGGTTGGAAAATAAAAGCAAGATTTTAAAATAGTTTCCGTGGGGAAAACCTTTCCTTTCATCCAACTTCAGTATGTGAAGCCTATAATACTTTGATAGTCTTCACCTAAGGCATAGAAAAGGTAACAAAGGGATTTACAATCTGACTAAATATGTATCGTAATACACAGTCATAGATGAGAGTTCACTGTAATGGGTCCCAGATGTGCACTTAGGCCTGGTTCACACCTGGGCGTTTTACAGCGCGTTCCTATGCTCTGTAAAACGCTCAACATGTGAAAACCAATGATTGCCTATGGGCATGGTTCCCACCTGGGCGTTTTACAGCGAGTAGGAACGCGCTGCAAAACGCCCTACGCCCAAAGAAGTACAGGAGCTTCTTTGGGGCGTATTTGCCGCGCGTATCCATTGGGATACAGCCGGGTAGCCCTCGGAAACGCGTGTTTGTTGCGCGTTTTTTTTTACCGCTAATCGCAGTAAAATCGCGTGGCACGAAACACGCATATTCCATACGCCTAGGTGTGAACCCAGCCTTAGAGCTGCTTCCAAAGCCATGTACTTTTCTGGAAACCTATTCTGATGATCACAAAAATTACACAAATAAAAAGTTAATATAAAAAATAACTGTGTTGCCAATATCCAATAGGCTTTTTTGTGACTATCAACCTTTTCACAAAATGAATCAAGTACAACAATGTGAGTGCAGCCCACATAGTGGAGTAGTAGGCTTGTAATGACCTGAAGGAATGAAACTAGCCATAGACTTTAGAAGATAATTAGACATGCAGGCATAATCAGACTGCTCAAAATCAGGCCATGTCCATTTCCTTAAACAGGAACACTTGCATTTCATTCTGAGGACTGGTAGACAAGTCTACTGCCAAAGTACTTCAGTGGCAAACAGCATTAATAAATAGAACAAAGTTCATTGCTATTCCCCATGCCAGATGTCTGCTGCTGTCTGTCCTTACCCATAGACTGTGCCACAACAGAGGGTTTTTATATTACTTATTAGACTTGCATCTCACAGTGATTTTTCTTTAAAAGGAAACCATTATCCTATGTAAATAACGTTATCGGTATATGTTAATATTTTATGTCTTTCTAAGCTTTAAATGGCTATGTAATGAAGTATGTCCATGGTGGCAGACATATTACCTGTCACAAATCAATCAATGTAAACGCATGTATGATCCAACTGCTAAACAGTTTTTGTATTAAAAATCATTGTATAAGCGCATAAGGCAGAATATATGTGGTTATGGAATAGTAAGGGAGGTGCCATCAGGGCCTGACTTGCCCGGTGGTAAAACAGCTTCAGTGGCTGACATCTCAACAACTACTGAGTGATTGCAGAGAAGCACAGATCTACCTCTTGTTGCCAATCTACAAATACAGTATGTATAAAAAAATAAAAAAAAGAATAAAGCAAAACCCTCTAGCAACTTCAGAGCGAAATTATAGCTAATTTGCCTACAAACGTCAGGTGGTCATAATAATCTGGCCACTCAGTGTATATATAATTATGGGAGAGCTAAACAGACAGCACAAGAGTAGGCTATCCCTACTCTTTGAAAGTTTGGACATAGTCCAACTCAAAAGGCCCATTCACACCTGTGCATTACTGCAACACATGGCAACGCACTATGAATGCATTAATGCATTGTGGTGCTATTCATTTGAGGGAGCACACCTCCAATGCATGTGTTGTAACGCAACACAACCCATGTTGTTTGCTATCTCTTACACACTGAAAGCCAGGTTGAATCTGGTTGGTGATGCATCACGCAAAAGGAAAGGGAGCTGCACAACACAGATTCAGTAAGCAGACCCACACACCTCACATGTAAAGTGCTCTGCTTCATAGTATCTTCCAATCTGACAAAATGTCACACATGGAATGCCTGTGTCCCAAGCTACCCTTTGTGGTCCTAAAGTGGTGTAGGCAAATACTTCCACATTAGGGCAAAAACAAAAAAAATAATAGCAGTTTAATTCCGCTTTAATACTATGCTATTGCCTTCAGCATCATCATTTGCATTCACATGAGAATTCACATGAAAATACACCAGTCACTTGAAAATAATTAAATAAATGTCACAAATATATAGCAAAATTTGCTGGCTCTGATTGTGGGAAAATAATCTTGCATTTACAGCTTTTGAAAAACGCTTACAGCCAATTGAGCTCATATTGGCATTTTGCATTGAATCCAACACAGTATTCTGAAAAGAGTTCTGTCAATGTACTTACTTGGCTTTTATATTGACAACCAGTTCATCATCCAGATAATAGAAAAACTTCTTTTCTGTATCCAGCTCAACACTGAATGTTGGAAGTACTGGAAAAGAAGAAAGGACGTATTATAAGCAGAACTGCATATTTGCCCTCAAGCAATGATATTCAGGGTTATAAATCAGCCTATTTTATACATTTTTTTTAAAGTAAATTTTACGTTCTTCCTCTAATTAAATTTGACGTGTTAGTTTTTATTTTCTATGTTCTGCATTATTATGTTTGCATTCACTATAGTGTTAGCTAGCTGAAATTATTTGCCTCATTGTTGAGCCACACTATAATTATACAGTATATGACTTGTGCCTAACAAATTGTGAAACCCAAATGAGCTTGTTCAAAAGAGTAGTTCCAGTATCAATGATAATGTGCAAAGTGCAGCAGCCCATAGCTTTAACATAAACTTGTACTTTGTCTACACCAGCATTTCTCAACCTTTTTTTTAGTCACAGCACCCTTTAAAGTATTTGAGGCACCCCAATCTAAAATTCAAGAAACGTAAATGTAAAAATATACATACAAATTAGTTTGCACCCATATCTACTCCTAAAAATAATTTTATCAGAAATAGATGAGCCGCTGTGCTAAAGTAGTAAAACCTCACTATTTAAGAAACCAATCCTAGTGCACTGCGCTACAAAGTACATTAATAACTAAACTTGTAAATTTGATGTGTTAAGTTTATATATAAAATATATATATATATTATATATATAAAAGATGGGAAATATGTGAAACAACAAAATAGATTAGATAACATGCAATATAATCATCTATCCAAATAACTAAAATGGGCGCATGCACGGATCCTCGGTAAAATGGCCGCTTGATTACCGAGCTCCGCAGATCGGTGGGCACCTTCAGCCCCAATCGAGAGCAGCAGAGACCGACACCTTAAGCCAATGACGGCAGACGACTCTGGCAGTCCAGGGCTACCTTACATGGCCAGCGGCTCCTTAAACCGGACCCGATCGCACTCCTACATGGCCCCTAAACAGCAGCCTCGAGGATCCAAGATGGCGGCCGCCCCTGCAGCTTCCAAAACCCAGCAGTCTCCCAAGCAGAGGGGGAAGGGCGGCGACGAACATAGGCACTCCGGGGGTGAAGTGAGTACCCGATCCTCTGCCCGTGACTCCCCAGGATCCACATCTTCTCTCATAGAGAGAACTCTAGCAGATATGATGCATTCCCAGGCAGTATCCTCTCCCAGCAGCCCTGAGCTCACTGATTAAGAGATGTCTACTGATCCTGAGACTGTTCTGGCCCACCCGACGCTCCTGGCCAAATTTGAAGAAATGCTTGATCGTGCCCTCCATAAGATGGCTAATCAGATAACCACGGATATTAAAGCAGATATTAGAGACCTGGGCTCACGTATCGACACTCTGGAAACAAAGCTGGATAAAACGATCAATCGCACAAACCAAAATACTGCTAATATTCAAACCTTACATCAACAATTAGAGGAGGCATTGTCAAAAATTGATGATCTTGAGAATAGATCCAGGCGCCTGAACTTTCGCATTCGTGGCCTCCCTGAATCTGTCACCGACCTTGACATGGCGGTTAAGACCCTTATAAAAGACTTGATACCAGACATTGTGGAACATCGTATGGAGCTGGATAGAGTTCATCGTGCCTTGGGTGCAGCACGCCCAGATGGTCCTCCCAGGGACATACTTGTGAAACCGCATTACTACTTCGTGAAAGAACAGGTAATGCAAATTGCTAGAGATCGCTCTGACCTGACGGTCAGGGGTCATCCTATGCAGATCTTCGCTGACATCTCCCAGCCACTATCCAAAAGTGGAGGTCACTCAAACCGTTACTTCAAGCATTTGCTAGCAAAGGTATCAGATATCAATGGGCTTTCCAATTTCGATTGATCTTTCAATACCACAATAAGACTCACTCCTTCACGGATTTCGTTATGGGAGAACATTTGTTACTACAACCGGGGATCATCTCTAAGGAGCCTTCATTGTCATCCGCTCTCCCCCCAGTCTCTGGGGGAGGCTTTGCCACGTCCTCTGTCGCCCATCTGGATGCAGGCTCGGCGACGACCTTCTTCATCTGCCCTCCCACCATGAAGATGGACATCAGGACAAGTGGTCTCATAGCCGCACTTGTTTTTTTTTTTCTGGCTTCCTGGTGCTAGTGTTTATTTTTTCCCTTGAGCTTAATCCTACAAATATTTAACTTTCTCATATTGGCAGTGTTGTGCCTTGGGTTCTGCTCCCTGTATTTTTTTTACGGTAAGGGGGGTAGGGGTGCCCGCTGATCCTAGTCGTGTGCCCTAGTTTGATCTAGTCTCCGGGGTTTACCCAGCTGCCTACATCAAACGGTATATCAACGATTGTTGATATAACACTTTGTTATAGGATGGTCTTGGGCTTAACCCTTCCGTCCTTTAGAGTTAATAATTGTTTGATGTTTTTATCTGTATGGTTGTCTCTTTTCTCTTTCTTTCTCCTTTGTGTGTGTAGGTGTAGCCTCTTCAGGGCTAGGCACAACTTGTGTGTCACAGAGGGGAAAGAGCTCCACCTACTCAATTCCCTATGGCCGCTGTGAGTTCTAGCAAACCATTCATATTTGCATCTCATAATGTGCAAGGTTTTAACTCTCCTGTGAAGCGACGTCTTGCTTTCCAGTCTTACCACTCGAATAGCATTGACATCCTCTTCTTACAGGAGACACACTTCCCATCGACTTATAATCCGTCCTTTTTGCATAGTCACTACGCCACATTTTTCTTAGCGAATGCTCCAGATAAAACTAGAGGGGTGGCCATATGTTTCGCTGGACATGTCTCTTTTAGGCCTCTACACATTGTCAGGGATCCCAAGGGCCGTTTCCTTTTGCTAAAGGGTTACCTAGAAGATCAGTTGTACTCTCTTATAGCTTATTATGCTACCAATACAGCCCAAATCCAATTTTTTACTAATATGTTTCAGTATCTCTCTTCGCAGTTGGAAGGCATTGTAGTCTGTGGGGGGATTCCAATGTAGCCTTAGATTCAGTAATGGACCGTTCCAACCCACGTAAATCGACACTCAGGCCTCCGCCTAAAACTGGGACCCGCTTAGCATGACTGTTGAGAGTCCACTCAATGGTGGATGCCTGGAGGGACCTTAACACCTCGACTAGGGATTTTACTCATTTTTCCACAGCACATAACACTTATGCCAGGATTGATCATATTTTCGTTTCTCCCACATTTTTGCCCATGTTGAAGTCAGTAAAAATCAAAGATGTGGCTTGGTCTGACCATTCCATGGTGATCCTTTCTGCGGTTGCCCTGGGTGATTCTGCTAAACCGTTTATGTGGAGGCTCAAAGAGTCGTTGCTGAGTGATCCTGCCATTTGTTCTGAAATTGCAACGCATCTAGAAACATATTTTGCTCTGAACGCGCTGCCTTCTATCTCTCTGGTAATGACCTGGGCCGCACATAAGGCGACCATTCGTGGACGGCTTATTGAGATGGCCACCAGATCCAAGAAATTGCGCAACAAACGCATCTTGGAACTGGAGGGGGAATTACAACACATTGTTGGCCTTCATAAGCGGACTCGGGACCCCGCCACGTTGAGAACTATAGAAAGGCTTAGACTTGATCTGAATTTGCTTCTGACCACCAGGGCTGAGAAAAGCCTTCGATGGACGGAAAAAACATTTTATACTCACAAAGATCGAATTGGCTCTTTATTAGCTTCCAAAATATCCCCTAAAATTCATCACAGAACCATGCCCAAACTCAGATGTACTAAAGCTGCCTATACCTGTAACCCAAAGAGGGTACTTCGGGAATTTCATACCTTTTTCACCACTCTCTATAAATACCCCGCGCCCCTTTTCTGTACAAACTGACTGAAGACTTTTTTACAGACTATCCCAACCCCGTCTATAGCCAACGAACATCGCCAAATTATGGAGGAGCCTATTACACTGGCTGAAATTACACTTGCTATCAAACAAGCAAAATCCACGTCCGCTCCGGGTCCAGACGGTTTCCCAGCTTCCTATTACAAAAAATGTCAGCAGTTTTGACCCCCCACTTAAGTAGCTTTTTTAATGAACTCCGTAAGGGAATTGTTCTGGACTCTGAGTTGAATAAAGCATTCATCACTGTTTTGCCCAAACCTAATAAGGACCCAGGTGAGGTAGGTAACTATAGGCCGATCTCATTGATTAATAACGACCTTGAATTATTGACGAAGATCTTGGCCAATCGTATGAATAGATTAGTTTCATCGTATGTCCATCAGGATCAAGTAGGCATTATAGTGGGGCAACAGGGACCAGATCAGATTCGTAGGGCCCTGGATATTATGTCCTTACTACGTGCTGGCTGGGATGGAGGTCCACTCCAGAGGGGGATGCTTCTTTCAGTGGACCTCCAGAAAGCGTTCAACTCAGTGACCTGGGACTACTTGTTTCGGGTGTTGGAGAGGTGGGGGTTTGGGCCCTCCTTTTTGCAGATCCTTCAAAACCTCTATTCTAATCCCCGGGCGATGGTGCCGATCCATGGCTATCTGTCCGACCCGATTGATATCTCCAGAGGCACGAGACAGGGCTGCCCGCTCTTGCCTATTTTGTTTGCGATTGGGATTGAATCCCTGGCTGTTGCTATTAGAGCTAATCCCGATATCAAGGGGGTCACCTGTGGAGATGGGGAACACAAATGTGTGCTTTTCACAGACGATATGTTGTTATTCTTAACATCTCTGATGACCTCCTTGCCTAATGTTTTGAAAACTATGAACGCCTTTGCGGATATCTCTGGATTACGGATTAATGAATCCAAGTCCATCGCTCTAAATATTAATCTTCCATTGGATCTGTGGGCGGGTTTGAACTCTCACTTTGCCTTCACCTGGGATACCGAGTCTTTACCTTACCTAGGGATCAATTTAGCATCTAACTTTTCTAACTTGTACAAGTCTAATTATCCTCCTCTCTTCAGACGATTGCTGAGCGATTCTGAAAAATAATCCTCCTACAATTTATCCTGGTTGGGCAGGATAAATACAGTCAAAATGACTATCCTCCCACGACTGCTCTATTTCTTTCATGCACTGCCAATCGCGGTAAATAGGGTGGACCTAATGAGGTTTCAAGCTGCAATCATCAGGTACGTTTGGGGGGGAAAGAGTCCCCGATTTGCCAAATCTGTGCTTTTCCGTTCAAAACGGTCGGGTGGCCTGGGGGTTCCTACTTTCTGGCTATACTACCAGGCAGCACGTCTTACTCAGCTCTCCACTGTCTATTCTAGCCGGGAGGTGCAGGACTGGGTAGCGATGGAATCGCACTCAGCCTCTAGAGTGTCAGTGGACTCGCTGATGTGGAAGGCCTCCGAGGATAGGCCCCGTGGTATTGGCTCCGACATTATCACACTCCTTGGCACTGTGGGACAGGCTACGGAGGACTTATCCTTTTGCCTCTCCTCATATGCCTCTAGCCCCCCTTTTTGGAAACCCCCGTTTTCTCCCTGGACTACATTCGCAGGGTTTCAAATGGTGGATTGATAAAGGCCTTTACCATATAGGCAATAATTATAAAAATGGTAAACCGTTGACGCAATTGTATTGCACTGACAGGTTGAGCCTGCCCCCAAGGGAGCTGTTCTGCTTCAGTCAAATCCGGCACTTTTTGTCCTCCCTTGGCCTTGGACACCTCTTTGGACACCTCCTTGGCCTTGGACACCTCTTTGGCTTTTACCCCCTACGAGAGATGGTGTTGGGACTTCACTGACCCACAGGGTGGTATCTCTCTAATTTACTCACTGTTTCTGGAACATCCTACAAAATTGCCATACATGCTAGCTTGGGAACGTGAATTGTCATTAACTCTTCCCTTAGAGTCTTGGCATAACTGCTGCTCGAGACTCTCCCCCGGGGTCTACTTAATATTTCCCTGATTGAGGCAAACCTCAAAGTTTTCATGCGCTGGTATCTTGTCCCTTCCAGGCTGGCAACCATTTTTGCGGATTCATCTCCTCTATGTTTCCGAGGCTGCTCAGAGTTGGGCACTATGCTACATACCTGGTGGCTCTGCCCTCGTCTGCGCCCTTTTTGGAACAGAGTCTTTGCATTGACTGATCGGGTTACAGGAGTGAGGGTTCCTAGGGATCCACAATACACACTTCTTAATCATCCTATTCCATCGGTAACCAAAGCTTTAGACAAACGAATTGCTTTTATTTTTATAGCAGCCAAGATATCTATTGCCAAAGCCTGGAAGACAGACAGGGTACCATTTGCCTATTTCAAAAGTAAAATGTGTTGGATAATGACACATGAAAAACTGACAAGCATACTACAAGATAGACACAAACAGTTTGGGGACGTGTGGGGTTCAAGGATGGCATACATGAGCATATAAAGGGTTTACTGGAATGACTATATCTGCAACCTGTTTTGTATCCAACCTGAATTGATAACTGGGAGGGAGTAATAACAACATCCTCGGAGCCTTCTTTATCTTTACCTTTCTCTTTTTCTTTCTCTTCTTTATCTCTTCCTTTTGTACTGTCTGATTGATCGGCCCTTAGTGGATATTTGACCTTATTAGTCTTGCACTTCTGAGGAAGTGTGAAGTAGTTTCAAGATACTTTAATACTTACAATTTTAGCAGGACCAGAACTAATGTTGGTTGGCCTAATGTTTAATGGCTTCTGGGCGTGTACAGTAGCTTGAGGATAATATGGAAGGTGAAGACAGTTTTCCTAGCATCCTGTTATCTAGGGCTGATCGAAATTTCTTTGTCTGTATTTCTCATGTTATGTATGTTATTGTACCTGAGTTATGTATACTCTATGTCCTCAAAATAAGAAAATTTAATAAAATACTTTGAAAGCAAATAACTAAAATGTCGCTTTAAAAGTCCAAAGATCAGTATTCCAATCCATAATTCATAATCCACTATTAATGTTCTATGTTAAAGTGCTAAGTTTTTCCAAATTTCTAAAGCTTTCACACACATTTAATTGAATGGAGGCCGACTTCTATCCTCTTCTAAATGCTGGGAGGTCTAGGATGCCGCCCTAGATTAGCGGGGGATTCATTTCCATGGTGTTGGTGGCTGGCTCGCCTACACTATGGAAATGTATGACACTGTGTACAAATTTCAAAGCACCCCTCACAAACCCAGAAGGCACCTTAGGGTGCCACGGTTGAAAAAGGCTGGTCTACACCAAGACATAGTTAGTTCATACCTAACTTTCTACACAATCACTATTATAAGCAAGGGAAGCACATATTCCTTTGCACCAAAATGAGTGTGGCAAGGCCCTATCCCCAATTTGAATACTTCATTTAACTTTGAATATAGTTTTACCTATTTCCAGCTTACTGGAAGGTTCTGCAGATTAATTATGAATGATTTGTTGAATCCCATTTTACCGCAATCTATTTGTCAATGAGGTAGCAATTGCGCCACTTTTTTTTTTGCATTAAAGTAGAAGTAAGAAATAAAATTGCCAAGCAGCAGGCTTTTTATCACAGAATAAACTATGTAAAGCTTTCCATACACTGTAATATTTTCTTCATTCAACCTGTGAGCTGGACAAATAAAATGTTACAGATTCCTCCATCAACGCTTGCAAGCGTTGATCAAGGAATCTGTCGGAGTCTTCATTTTGTTCTGACAGCAGTTGCCTGTCACTGTCAGAATACTCAAACAAAGCCGGCAACTGGCTGCCCGATCTGTTTCGTTCGAAGATTTTTTGTCTGGCTCCTTTGATCAGCTGATCGAGGAATGCCGGCCAAAAGGGTGCTAATCAAGAACCATCCAAAATTAGCAGTGTATGGCCAAGTTAAGCTTTTTCTGCCATAAAAGCTTCTTTCTATTATTTTTTTCTGTATGCTGAGCCATGCAAGAGCAGCTCAGTGAACAGACTCAGCATGCCAAGACGAAGTAATTCCAGTGCGTATCAGCAGGAGTTATGTAATCGGGCCCGCCCAATCAAGCAGCCTAAGACTTAAAATCTGGAAGAAGACCGGGATGAAGATGGAGGTACAGGCAAGGGAGGAGCACAGCGCTGGAGGGGATTAGTTTGCCATAATGTGCTAATATTGTGCATGTTATGGCTAAAAGGGGCACCTTTAGGTTTGCTTTAATATGTGGTTTTCAGGTCAATCATTGTACTGTGTCACACACACAAACAAATGTTTAAAAATGTTAATTTTAATGGCAAATTTACTGCTTTCATAGATGGCTAGTACAGTACTTTGATGCTACAACAATTTATTCTAAAACAAGGAAAGTCAAACTGTCCTAACAGGCTTGCAATATGAAGGGTGACTAATTACATTTCTTATGTTCATTGTTAAAAGACCAGCATTTTTTTTTCAGTAAGCTTACCATATTCCCGCACTTCAAACTGCGTGGTATATTTCTTATGTGGTGCATCTTGAAATTTTGCAATAAGTTTCCATGTGCCAAATCTATGGGTGTAAAATAAAACAAGTGACATGTTCCCAATATCTTGACCATTACAATCTATATATCTAGTGGACTTACCAAGTGGACCTAGCATCACATATATTTTTCATGTTAGTCATTAAAGTCAAAACGGTTTTAATTCTTTCAAATACTAATTAAATCAATTACAATGGATGCTACTCCTTGATGTTTAAAATGTTTAGCTTCTTGCAGGATTAGCTGGTCCCCTGAGCACTGGTCCTGATATTCTGTTGTGGGGTGGCTCCTTTCCCTTGCAAGGTCCCATGGAGCCATACTTGTGTGTTCTAGAAAGCTGTGTGCGTGTTCACAAACACACAGGTAAAGTAAAAGCAAACCTCTTCCCTCCTCCCTGTTCTCCTCTCCTCCGTCCTCCCTTCTAAAAGCTAGTAGATGGATATGTGCTGGGGACTGCTCTGTCCCTTGTGATTTTGTACTGGATAGAAAGTTCAGGGAAGCGGAGCTCAGAGAGTTGGAGCCAGCTTTTCTGAAACATGATGAATGTAATTGCTTGGGCAAAAATGTAAAGAAATACTTTGCTTGGCAATGTATAATTATTTAATCTGAATTCATTGTTAAAGAAAAAGTTTGAAAGTTTAATACTACTTTATGTGCATGTGTAAGTGTAACACTTACAGGTAGTTTACACCTCTCATAGAGACCACTGTATTCCCCTTGGCAAAGCCAAAGTCCCCATCTGTTTTTATCTCTAGAAGGATGGGGCTATTTTTATTCAGGCAATATCCAGGATCAGCATCTACTTCCTACACTGAGAGATGGCAGTCATTTAAAGGAGAACTATGAGGTGAGTGCTTTTTACTCACATCATAGTTCTAGCCGACCTGTGACAATGAGACTGTCACAGGTTGGCTCAGTAGATCGGGAGGTGAACAAACACATACCGGCGTTCGCTCACCTCTCGATCCTGTCACAGCTCTCTGCCGTGACAGGGGAGGGGCTGGATTCCCCTCTCCCCGCTCTGATGCGCCAGCGCTGACTGGCGGAACGGACGGGGGAGGGGGCGGGTACAGCTTGCTCTGCCTCTAGATAGGCAGAGCCAGCTGTCAGTCACGCAGCTGGGCGAATCCCGGCACGCTTCAGCTGCTGCGTCTCAGTATACAGCTGCTGCTCACGGTATACTGCGGCGTCTCAGTATACTGAGCCTAGGGTGAAGGGAGGACGCTAGTTTGTGTCCTCCCGTTACCCTAAGGAGAACTATGGGGAAAAGCCTTAACCCCATAGTTCTCCTTTAAATCCTGGGGCCTGTGAAGTTCTTGTCTGTGCTCATGAATGTGTGACACAGATTCAGCCCCTTTTTACAGCCTCTCACATTTTGACTTGCTACAGTTCTGCAGCCTAATCACTGGAAATGCTTCTTCCTGCCTGCAGCATACTGATGACATGAACTCAGCCTAGGGAACGTAATTGAACTGCACCTTAATGACTTACTATCATAAAAGGTACAGCTTTTTCAAAAAATGATATTGTTCCTATATACAACCCCAATTCCAAAAACTCCAGACCCCAGGCTCTGAGGCTCTATGTAGTGGCCATAATGCAGTGCAAATATAAAAGTCAGATGTTTGCTGAGGGAACAGCTCTGCTAGTGTTTTATGTGGTTTAATGCTAATGTGGTCCTTTTACAGTGCCTGGTCACCAGAATAGGGTGGAAGCTTTGAGACGTAATGCAGACTTGATCCTGCAAAAAAAATGACACATTTTTGCCGCTGAGGACCAGCTGTGAATGTTATGTGCGGCACCTTTACAGTGCTGGAGCACCAGAATAGGGCAGTAGAGGCAGCACAATATAATAATAGTGGCAGGTCAATAGCAGTGGAAGGGGACGGTAATGGTGGCATGCCTGCAGTGGTGGAAGAAGTTGATACTGGTGGCAGGAGTTGGTAATGTTTATAGAGCAGATGTGGCAGGTTCTGGTAATGTTGGCAGGCCAGAAGCAGCAGAGAGAGCTTGAAATTGTGGCAGGAAAATGCAATGGCAACAGATAAGCAGTGGTGGCATTTTGTGATGTTGTAAGGTATAATAATTTTGGGGGGGCTAGATTCCAAGCCAAAACATAATGATTAGAATCAACTGCATGGGTTTCCCAATCATTGCTCCTTCCGGGCTGGTTCATTTTAATAAAAGTTAGCCAGTCAACTGGGTCAGGGGACAGGCAGATTCATCTCTCTGTTACAAAAACACCTGCCACACCAAATGCCCTCTCTGACAGCACAATGGCCACAGGGCAAGCCAACGGCTCCATTGCATACTGACCAAGCTCCGCCAGTGGTGCAGTCTGGACATCCAAAATGTAATGGGGTCCTCAGTTCTAAGGTTATCCATATCCACCCTGGACCCCAAGTTATCTAACATCATACTGTTTAGGTGCGGCCTGTGACTGCTGCCATCAGTCAGGTCTCTCTGCTTTGAAATTGAAAAGTGACCTAAAAGCATCGCTGAGGCAGCCACCACCACTGCACGTCCCCCCATGGACCTAAGAATTGGAGGTATGTTTTCCATGAAAGGGGATCCTGACACTCCCTAAAAAAGACGACAAGAGTCTTTTTCACCGCATTTTGTGCTCCCTCTGGGATGGCAGTATGAGATCTAGCATTTTCCCCTTATTTTTTGGGATCCAAAAAGGTGTCCTAAATCATGGGGTCCTTGCACTGGCACATTAGGATGAATGAGCCAATTTGCCACAAATTGTCTTCAACAGAGGATCCTGATTCATCAGTGTCACTGAGGACACCTCACCCCACCCATGTACAACTGTTTGGGTTTGGAAGGGGGGGAAATCCCAAGAAGCCTGCCCCATGTCCTCCTCCTCACTGCTGTCACCAAGTGCTCCTCTTCCTAGTGCTTTGCCTGCTACTGTCTCTGCCTCACAAATTCTCCTGCTGCTGTGCCTTTATAGCCCAGTCTATTATAACATGCAGTGTGTGCTCCAGCAGGAACACCAGAGGAATCTTGTCACTATGCCTGCATGGCCGCAGCTAACCATTCGAAGAAGAGGCGACCCTAATGATGAGCTGATACATATGTCCTGACTCTGGAGCCACCAATGTGGTGAAAAGAACGCTAGATTCCCAGAGCCTGTCCTTTTCCCATAAACACACAAATAATCTGACATCCTGCTACTGCAGGTGCAGCTGCTGCAGAATGGACAATGTTTTGTCGGGCATGTGGCAGGCAGCTTGTTTTGGTGCTGCATTTCAGCCAGGTGAATGCTAGGTATGAGTGCCTAAAGTGTCCACACACTCTTTTGGCATGCTGCAGGATACCATGAAAGCCAGGGTACCAAACTAGCAACTGCTGGTGGCTCTGACAAGTCACAGAAGGAGGACACTGAGAAAGAGGGGGTAGAGGTGACTAAGCCAGTCACCATCATCAAGGTGCAGGATATGGGGGTGACACCACCCGCTTCACCTGCGTGCCAAGTCCTGCATCCTTTCTAGCCGCCGGAAAAATTTCCCAGTGCACTGTAAGGGAGATGTCAGGTCTCTGCCCCTGAATGCTGGACCATGTGTCTGTTGTTATGTGGACCCTGAATCTGCAACTGACTGTGGTCCAACGTCATGGAGACATTACTTTCAGCATGCTGGCGGAAGGTAGGGATGACCTTCTGGGTGAAAAAATTGCAGCTGGTACCACCCACTGTTATGTAGCACAGTCCACAATGTGGCGGAAGAGCCATAGACTCCATCAGCTGGAATAGGTCAGCTGTAAAGCTAGCAATTTTGCAGAGCTTGCAATAAGACACTGGACAGGGAGGGTGATTGGGTGACAATTTTTTCTGCTACTCTAGCAACTGGGGAGGAGACACCCACCTGTTTATGGATTCTGCTGGAGATGGCAGGGTGGGGTTAGCAAACTTACAATCAGGCTGAAATCTACTCTTGTCCCTACTCTGCAGGCAAGTTTGTAAGGCAACAGCAGGATAAGCTGTAGAGGTGGAGGGAAAAAAAAGCACAGATGCAGCTGCTGATTAAAATGTGCTGCTATGCACTGTTAACCCCCACACTGTCTGTTAACATGGTATTGCCCCGACTATGTAGCACGGTTGGTGGAATCTGTGTAATCCGCGCTTATGGATGATTTTAAGGATGTTTACAATAAATATTTAAAAACTAGTTCAAATTGTGAATAATAATTTAAAATTAATTTAAAAATTAATTTAAAATTATATAAATGTATTGGAGCTGCTGTACTTTAAGACACTAGGGTCAAATTCATAAATAGCTAGGTGCACACCTAGCTATTTATGTAACACGGTTGCCTCCAGTCACATCACCGTCAACAGGCCGCAGTCAGCCAAGATTAAATTAATATTTATCTTAACAAACGATTTTACACAGGTGGCGCTCTGTTCCCTTGTTTTCTCTTAAGGGTTAAGCCTGAACACTGCTTTGTTCTGGTAAGGCGGAACCTGCTCACCCCCCACTAGCTGCACGTGAAGAACATCTGCCTCTCCCAGACATGACAAATATAGGATAATGCCTAACTTTATTACCAATTATGGCAATAGGGAAATTAAGGATGTGGTGCTTTGGTGCACTGGTGCGTATTTCAGCGCGTATCCATTAGGATAGAGCCTGATAGGTTTTCGTAAACGCGAGTTTCGTGGACCGCAAATCGCGGTGACTTGCTGCAAACAATGGGCAGCTTTGCCTCTGTCAAGAACAAATTAATACTGCTTTTATTTAAATAAAATATATCTAACTGAAAGTAAAAAAGAAATATAAACAGGTAAAATTAAGGAAAGAAAATAAAGCCCCAATAAAGCACCAGAAAACAAATAAAACTGCAACGGGGTTTAGCAGCTAAGCAGCAGCTTAAGTTGTTGCTAACACACAAAAAGCTAGCCCTAAAAAGAACTGTTGGGTCTATGCATTGTGAAAACAGAGGTGGGTACACAATAATACAGAACACCACACCACATTCACAATATCAAAATACAGAACAGTGAACACAGGGGTACATACTATGTAGCCCACCACACTGCAATTAATTGTAATAAGGTAGCAAAATAGAGCACTTTATAGTGATGTTTATAGCACAAGTTTACAGAACTGTATAACTACAATCTCTCTCCCTTTAAAGAACACTTTGTCAGCTATCTCTATCTATTCCAACTCTGCACACACACTGACAAATGGCTGCTGGAAACCCTGACTTTTATAGGGGGGTGTTGGGACATAAAAAAGCACAATTTCTTGCCCTTCTCAACTACCGGATCATAGTTCAAAGGTCAGGAAGTGCATGATTGGTAACTGGTTGCTATATCAGTTAATGGCCACATTAGTTCACTATTTTCCTAAACTGTATGCAATTTTGGGTCAAACTAATGTTTGGCCCAAACCAGAAACTCATCCCTTGTTGTAACGGCAACCGCCGTCACCGCTCACCTAGGAATCGGGGGGTACAGGGTTCTGCCTCACGGGACGGGCCGTCTGCGTTCCGGCGGGGTGCGCGCGCATCCACTTCCGGGTTCGGACGGCGGGTGCGTTCCACCTTGGCACACGGAAGTGCTCCGCCTCGTTCGGCGGCTCCTCCCCCCGCCTCTTAGCCCTATATAAACGCCCCAGTGAGACAGTATGGCGTTCCAATATTGAAGACTGAACGCCTGCTGTCTCCTGGGACCCCCCATACCTTCCAATACTGCTACCAGCTACAGAGAACCTTTAACGAACTCCACTTGGACCCCCAGCTCCTTCTGCTACTCCATTTAATCGCAAGTACCCTGGCATATTGCATTACCATTGAGATAAACTGACTGTGTGTACAGAGAAGCTGGATTAACTTGCATGCTCCATCTAGTGGTCCTTTTGGAGAATACAACTCTACCTCTAACCATAGCTGATATCAATCCTACCCTAATTGAAATCCTGAACCTTTACATCTTTTGTTACTATTACTTGTGATTGGGCTTATGCAGTAATAATCCCATCCAACCTTTTACCTCTGTTATTTTTGGATGTGATGCTTGAACCCTAACTCCCCGTTAAGATTGGGAGTGAAACCAGGGTTCCGTCTGATTGGCCTCCGCAGTTGCGATCCACAAAACCCCAAACTTACACCAGGTGTTGCACTTGTAACAAAAAAAACTCCTTCATTCCTCTGCTTCCCTTATCTATTTTTTTTAGAGGAGAGGAGACAAACTTGTCATTTTTACCTTGGGTGCCAGATGACCTTGTCAGGTCCTCTGGTGCCCACTGGGTATGCTCATGCTGTTTGAAATAGACTAAAAATAGCTTAATAAAAAAATTACATGTTATAAAATGTTTTTTGTGATGAATGCATGACAGTATGGTTTTATTTTGTTTTAGCTTCAGGCTGCTTTGCTTGACTGGTGTTCATCTAATACCAATGATAGTGCTGCAATTTATTGATCTTTTTATCTTAGGTTCTTAGAAAAACTTCAGTTTAATTAAGGTTAACACAAATAACTGCTAGAAAAGCATTTTTTAATTCAAGGTTTTCAAAAATTACCTTCCAAAATAAAGCCCTTTTCACACGGAAGCATTAGTTCTCATCAGCAGAGAAACAATGCACAGGGATCCCCTGCATATAAGCCTTCAAAAAGGGGACTATTGTTTTTGAAAGTTCTACCCCCATAGACTTGCATTGAGTTTGAGTTTGAATTCAAACTTTTTGGATGCTCTAAAGTTCGAATTCGAACTGAACTCGGGCCTGTTCGCCCATCACTAGTTAGGTCTATGGGCAGTCAGATGAAAGCGAACATGTGTCCATTTTTATCCAATTACCTCCAATCTGCCACGTTCAGGTTCACCACAACAGAGCTCTGTTCTGTTTTTTTGTTGGCCCTAGATGGACTTGGAGGTAACGGACGCACGTCTGGTAAAAAAAATCTGGTAAAAAATATCTTTCTTGCAACCATAGCACCAGTATTCCGCTTACAGACATGACTTCCAACAACTATGACCTTCCTACTCCTGTAAATGAATGTTTTTTTCAAAAAGTCTGCACGGGCCTTGAGGTAAAAGTGCAAGCACCTCCATCAATGCCCTTATTATTACTACTTTCACCATTTGATTTTTGGAGAGAGACTTGCCAAGTCTACTTCTTGTCTAGAGAGATATGTGGATGGAGATGATTACTAAAACATGTTCATGGTGCAAAGAAAATACTCAATAAGCTTAGATAATAAGGTGAAGCTGTGTTCACACCAACCATCCAATCATGGGCATGCAAAAATCTTGTTTTTTTTTTAAATTTCCCATGCATGAAATCGGGTATACAAACTAAGTAAACACAGCCTCACCTTATGTACTAAGCTAATTGGACACACACTTTGCTAAGTGAACAGCCTCTACTATTGTATTAAATCAACTCCACTGTTTCTTGTCACAACACTATGGCTGATAATTACCTTTATCTCCTTGATGGTAAAATAAGAAAAAAGAGGTGAACAAGCGGGAAAAGAAAAAGAAACTTACGTGACCAGCTCTGGGATTTTCATTGGGAATGCAAATATTCCTTTTTCTATAACACGGTTCTCCTTATTCACAATTATACCTTCAGGATTCTGTGAACATGAAAGTTAAAGTGACACAAAAACCCTCTGCTTTTTTCTCCTTATATACATCTACACAATGAATATTCTCCAAAGCAATATTTATGTTTTAAAATAAAGTCTTACTATTTGAATCCCTTTAGAAAGTCTGCTGTGCTCGCTCCTGTGTCTCTTCTCTCCAGGCACACTTCCTGCCCCTTAGTAGGAGCCGTGCACTGGTCCTGTGCATATAATTCTTTACCTACAACTCCCATGAGACAGAGAGAAAACATCTCTCACTGCACACAGCTGCCTCCTCCCCACTTCCCCTTCCTCTCCTCACTATACAATCTGTAACAGTTTAATTCCTCACAATCTCCTCTGCAATGCTCTGAATTACCAAAACTACATACAATAGCTTTACAACAAATCTACAACAAACATCAAGTTTTCAACAATCTATATAGAAAAACAATTGTATTTGAAATGTAGGAGCCGTATCCTCTGTGACTGTGTGACCAGATTCAGCATGTGAGTATGAGGCTGGTGACAGCTCACATGCTGAATTTCCTCACAAGCAGCTCCCCCCACACTCCCTCCTTGGTCCACCCACACTCCCTCCTTGGTAAGCCAGGAGGAGAGAAATCACAGATCATATATTAGTGTGGGAGAGCTGAAGAAATCCCAGCTCCATGCAGAGTCCAGAGGGGAGGATCTGTGGGCGGAGACTGAGAAGACACGGTGTACTCCTTGACATGAACCAGCACAGAGGGTGGCTACTTTTCAGCACACATAGGGACCATGGAGAAGAAAAGTAGCCACCCTCTGGCAGGAAGTTGTGGCTGGAGAAAAATAAAATGGATTTTGGAGCATTTAAAGCTGAACAACGACAAAAAAAGGTACACAGTCATCGATTATGTATATTATAGAAGTTATTTTTATTTTTTTATTTCTGAGTTTAGTGTCGCTTTAAGATATTTTTCTATTTCTCTCTTTCTTTGCCTCCCTCTCTTTCACGCTAATGTACACACTTATACACCATTTTACACATTGTATTGTTAAGGCATATCATAGACGCAACAGCATTTCTGTGTGTTAAATGTGCAACCAAATTAATAAAAAAAAGAAAGATTGCAGTGCCTCTAAACAGAGCATTTCACAAAACAGGAAAATGGCTTGTGATTTGTTATATATTACAGGGAGAACATTCACTAATACCTGATGTAAAATGATTGCCACGCTTTGGAGCTGACCAAAGCTAATAAAATAAGTCACATACAATATTATTTATGGAAACAAATACTGTTGAGATCCACCCCGCTGGCTGATTGACAGCTGGCTCTGCCTCTCTAGAGGTAGAGCCAACTGTGCCTGCCCCCTCCCCCATCCGTTCCTCCAGTCAGTGCTGGAAAAAGCAGCAGAGGGGAGAATCCTTGCGGGGAGCGGTGACTGACAGTCACCGCTCTCTACAGGGAGAGGTTCGGGAAGTTACACTGCCACAATAAGGGCGGAATGGTGTGGATGGTGTGAACGAGGCCTCAAAGATCCCTAATGCCTCTGATCCCTAATCAGTGTGGAAGGCTTAAGGGCCTTTATTGAATAAGCTGTGTGGTATGTATGTGTTTGCAGCGATTGTAAGCAGCGATTGGCGGTGTGTGTTCGCTGACTTCCCAATCAATAGAGATGATCTGTGACCGCTTCAGTGTCCTAGGTCGGCTTGAATTATGGGAATGAGTGTTTTTTCACTCACCCCATAATTCTCCTTTAACTATTAACAAAATGTATCTTATTCGTGTATCGCTCAGTTGTAGATCCTCAAATCATTTCTGAATTCATGCTGACAATGTCCTTCCTTCTGGAGGGTGGCTACTTTTGTTCCCCATGGTCCCTGTGTGTGATGTAAAGTAGCCACTGCTCCAAACTCACTACCGTGATGGACTATAATCACCTGTTCAGTTTACTCATTTGTATTGAGATTGGGAGTGAGCTTGATGCAGTGACTACTTTACAACACACACCGGGACCATGGGGAACAAAAGTAGCCACCCTCCAGAAGGAAGGACAGTGTCAGCACCAATTCAGAGATGATTGGAGGATCTATAGCCGAGTGATACACAAATAAGATGCATTTCTGTTAATAGGTAAGGTACTTGAATGTATTTTTAAGATTTAGCACCTGAGTTTAGTGTCACTTTAATAGAATCCCTTCTGCTCAGTTAGTGATGTGCAAATTGATTTACAATTTTTAGATGAAAGTGTATGTGCAGCCCAAACTCTTTTTTTCAGTTTTAGCTAGAGTGGGGAACTTTTACAACGCCAGTGGGGTTTTTACTGCTTTCTGGTGTTCTAATAGTGAGATTTTTCATCACTTCCTGTACCAGTGACAATTGTTTCACTAGAGATGAGGTGGCTATAAGTTTACAAAATTAACAGTTAGAAATAAAAATATTTTTTTTCTAGTAGAATATGGCAAGCCTTAAATCTCTGACAGCTTTATTTTGCTAAAGAAACACATTTAAGAGGCGCTGGGATTACTGTGCTCACTCAAAATGTCCAGACTCAATAAGGCATCTCCCAAACAAGACAAGCCTCCCTTGTAGGGTAACCAGAAGTCACTCAATGTCCAGAAATAAAGGTGAAAGAGTCCAAATATGCCTTTAGATGTTTACAAATCAATTAAGTCAAAAACAGGCAACAACACTCTCCCTTCATCAGGACTACAAAACCAACATATAGCATAATGGATAAAAGTGCAATAATAAAAAATAGATCAAACAATAATAGAAAACAAATCTGATTTTTTTTAAATCATTTAAAGGTATATTTGGACCTCTTCACCTTTTGGTGTGGCACCCTTTATTTCTGAACTTCTTTTTGCTTACTCTATCCCTGTTCCTGTCTGGTGAAACCCTTGTCATTGTGACAGAAAGTGAAGGAAACCCTCGGATAACTTTTAAAACCCAGACAAAAAAACTCTATCCAAAATTTGAAATCATATTTACCTTGGCCTTCAAATATTCTGGGAATACAAACACTTGCAGTTCACAGATTCTATTGATTAAATCTGTGTAATTAACTATCGGCCCTTTCATTGGTTTGCTCTTACATCTGCAAGCAGATTTCAGCAAGAAACATATTCAGAAGTGGGGCTACCAGTCACTGAGCCCTGGTGTATTACCTATTGGTTGCCTATTGTTTGAAATGAATGCACTCCTTATCAACGTCACAGCATACCTCTAACATGATTTCAACTCTTTGTTCAATTGGATCCATGTTCTTATCAGTTGAAAAAATCCTGTAATCGACTAAAAAAAACAAAAAACAATGAATTCACTTATAACAGAACAATAAAGAACAGCCCCACCCTATGCATTGTTATGGGAGTTGTTACAACAGGGTTTATAAAATCAAACGCAAGTACAAAAAAATTCACCCTGACTTTCAACTTATCTCTAATCATTAATCTGGCCATAATACTTAACACTCACCTAAAAGCTGCCCATACGCTGTGCAAAATTCTTCCAGTTTTTGTCTGCAATGCGTTTAGTCAGCATCCTTCCTTCTGGCATCCATCAATCAGAAAATTGAAGGAGCTGGTCGGAAAATGTTTGGGCAAACAGTGACGGCAACCAATTAGCGTGTGTGCCACTATCAGAATACAATACCCCAGCAGGAGATTCGTCCACCCAGGCTGTTTAGCATGGATGGAGGAATCTGTTATATTTTTTTTTTCAGCCCGCAGTTTGAACGCAAAACATATGACAGTGTATGGCCACCTAACCACATATTCCTGAGAATAATTTCTAAAAATGAACCCAACCCTAACACACAGTATAATCCAACCCTAAAAAAATGAATTCTCAACTATACCAGGTCATTTTCTATGTATTTTAACCACTTTCAGCTTTCAAAATGGACAATGGTCAAATTGATCAAACCACCCTACCAACATCACTGTCATGCAAAGGTAAGTATATAAACTATGATTGGCATGTTACCTTTTTTTAATTGCATTTTTTTTTTTTTTAATTGAAAGCGGGTTTAAGGTGCTACATAATTGACCAGCATAACCCTTAAACTAGCCTTATATAATATATAATGATATATTCTCCCTTACCATTTTGGTTTGGTGTATAGATTGTTTTGGCTGTCTGGATAAAAATATATCCTATGTCTGGAGAAAGAAGGATAACCTTTTTTAGGTTTATGTTTTTCAATTTGGCCTCCACAATGGCATATTGCTTCTCATTAACGTCCGAAGTGAGAAAACTTGGGGGAATCTAAATTAGACAGATAAAGAACTAATAAGACTGAATATACAGAAATTATTATTCATATTAAAAAGAAACTTTATCCATATTTTAGTGTCAGTATCAGGCTTAACTGCCTGGGCATGAGCTTATTATATTTTTCACACAGAAAGGTGGTCTCCCCAGTTATTTCTTTACTCTGTGCAAGAGAGAATTTTTGGGGGGACTGTGACACCTTTTTGTCTCTGTAATGGTGAAGACAGTTGAGCAGAAATGTGAATTCTGTTGGCAATATCTTAATGGCCAAATTATTTCATAAACCATATAATTCAACTGTCTGTAGCCACATAACATGAAAGCAGGGGTAGATAAACTCAAGCCCTCCCGCTGTGGTGAAACTTCCAATCCCTTTAGGCATTGCAAGACTCTGGCAGCCACAGGCATGACTTCCAAGGTCAAATACATGATAGGATTTGTAGTTTCGCCACAACTGGAGGGACGAAATCTGGCTTCCGCTGCTCTAAAGTATCAATGTTAGGTGCCATTGGCCTCTCATTTCAGGAAATTCAAGTTTATTTTTACCATATGATGACTAGATAGATATACATTGTGTTTTTTTTCTAATAACTGACCTCATTTATCAAGGTGTTTAACACATATCAGCCAATCAGGTTCTTCCTCTTATTCTACTTATTCTATTCTACTATCATACTGACATAATTCTTTCCTGAAGCACTTTTGATAAATAAGGCTCAATGAATGTTGCTTTAGGCTAACCAAGATGAATATGGCGAGTCTAATTACAATCTTCTAATGTAAACCAGCCATTGTATTATAAAAGACGTTGGTTGTTAGCGCTTGATAAAATATGCATAATGAGACAGCCCCAAATAGGAGGGTTTTAAATAATCATAATCAAATCACTCCACCTATAAAAATGGACTGAAAGGACATACAATTATTTGCATAGCATGTGTTAACACAGTCAGCACTTTATACTGCTATTAGACAATCATTTAAGCTGAATGCTAAGCAGATATTTACATTCATTAAAAAATGATTGATTCTAGTGTAAGGAGATGAATTTATCGTACTAGCCTCCTGCAATCCCATGCACAGCACTGCTCAGACTGGGGGAGGGAGGGCAGCACTAGGAGCCATTCAGGCTATCCTTCTAAAAAGTTACTCTCTGACTAAAGTGCAACTGAAGTTTTTAGTTTTGGATAGAGTAGAGAGGAACTACAACACCTGTCAAGTTTTTTTGTTGTATCTGTCCCCATTAGGGAGATTCACCCGCTCCATTTCTCCTGGTGTCCGTTATCACTGGTGTGATCCGTTATCCCAAATTTTGAGTTGTTACCAGAACAGGAGTAGATGGGGAATCTTCCATTGGGGACACTAGTTCTGGTGACTCTGCTGACCACCAAGGATTTCCCTCTCTTTGGAGGGATTTCCTCTCACTTGTGAATATTGGACAGGAAGTAAAGGGAAATCTCCCCAATAAGACACAGAAACATAACCCTCCCTAACTCTATTAAACAACAACAAAAAAGATTTGGATTCAGTTCTATTTTAATAGACTAAATAGAGGTATACAATTGTATTATAGAAAATTTCTCATACGTTGATATATGCTGTAGCCAGGAAATTGTTGGATTCATTTAAATAAGTAACAGTCTTGTACATCTGCTTATCTTGAAATGTTTTGACAAAGATCTCCACTGCTTGATGTGTTTTACATTCATGGCCTTGGATAACAATTGCCTCTTCATTGCCAGCGTGCAGGATATTGGGAGCCATCAAAACAAAGCTGAAAATAAATAGTAAAATAATGACTGAAATATCAACAGAAATATGGATGGGGCAGGAACACAACTCAAACATGAATGTGACAGATATGCCTGATATGCTCAGCATTATATATATATATGTTGTTGCCCATTTTTCATCAAGCACATGTCACCAACACCTTTATCCAGTAATTATGACTGGGGAGTGTCTTCTGTGACCCTACACACACCTTCAAATGTCTGTATGATTTCAGCAATGCATGATGGGATATATACTCTGGAAAAAGGAAGATAACATCATATACAGCAGCAGAGATGGAAATGAAAAGCACGCTGGGAATCCAACAAGTTGTTGAAAGTGATGGGCAAACAGAAGACACCACTCACTACATAAAAGGGATTTTTTTCAAGTAAGCTTTGATTACATTATCAAAAACAACTCTAGTATGTATTCCTATTACAATTCTGATGTTAAAACAGAATAGTACATGCTGGGACTTTACAACTCTTTTAACCACTTAAAGACCAGGGTGTTACACCCCCTTCCTGGCCAGGCCATTTTTCATTGTTCAGCCTTGCGTTACTTGATGGGAAGGGGGCTCCTGATGTGAAGTGTGAAAGGGAGGGTTCCTGATGTGAAAGGGCTCCTAGTGAGGGAGGGGAGACTCTGATGTAAAATTAGTGGAGTCCTGATGTAAAGGGGAGCTCTGATGTGAAAGGTAGGCTTCTGATGTGAAAGGGGGCTCTATGATGTGAAAAAAAGAGCTCTTGATATGAGAGGGTAGCTCTGATGTAAAGGGGAACCCCGTTTTTGTGTTTTTGCGTGTGGGTTCCGGTATGGATTTTGTAGGGGCCACATGTCCTTTTTTACATTTGCTTATTTTACATTTTGGACTGGGATGCCTTGCGATTCTACACGTTTTATTGTTTAAATACAAGCAGTCCGGAGCTGCCCGATCACTTGTATTTTGTATGTTGGTGTGCGACACCCCTCCTCCACCATGGCCATCGGCACGGGGACAAGGTGCTCTTTCAGGGGGGCCCTGGAAAAGCACTCTCCCAGTGCCGAGGGCATGTGGCCTGGTATGTAACCCCCCCCCCCTCTTTCCTCCCCTGCCAGGCTTGTGTTAGGATCAAGGGTCTGGTTAGGAATTTTAGGGAGGACCCCACGTTTCCCCCCCCACCCCATTTTTGGGGGTGGGATCTCTTCTAACATTCCTACCAGACCTATGTCTTTAAATTGTTTTTCTCCTTTGGTCTACATTATTTTTTACTCTGCTCGCTACCTCAGAGGCGACATTCGGCTATTAATTTACTGCCGTTGGGCCCATATGAGAATGGGGGTGAACGACAGCGAGTGAACTGTCGGAGCTTTGGCCCAGCCGATCCAGATGTTGGATCGACTGAGTCGAATGGCTTCTGCACTTCGGCACTGCATGTTCAGCTGACCAAAGGCAGCCAATGTACCGTATTTGCCGGCGTATAAGACAAGTTTTTAAACTTAAAAACATCCCCCGAAAATCGGGGGTCGTCTTATACACCGGGTATGAATGTGCGGTAATACTGTATGTACGATAGCTTCGGCTACATACAGTATACAGCGCTGAGCCAATCACGGCAGGCTTTGTATTAATGAATACAAAGCCTGTATTAATGAATACAAAGCCTGTATTAATGAATACAAAGCCTGCCGTGATTGGCTCAGTGCGGTATACTGACGGAACCCAGAAGACGGAGAACACCGGGGATCGTGGACAAAGTAAGTGTAAGGATCGCAGCCTGCGTCCCCCTATGGAACACAGCCGCAAAGGAGACTGTACGATCGCGGCTTGCGTTCCAGGGTGGAACGCAGCCGCAACCCGGAAGTAACATCGCCGATGCGTTCCAGCGTGGAACGCATCGGGGCGGGAAAACGTCACCGGCTCCTCCCCTTCACAACCACTTAAATAGCAGGAAGCCAGGTCAGTATGGCGTTCTATTATTCATCCGGAAACGCCAGCTGACAGCCTGCTCCCTGCTGCTGAGAGGACCACCCTATTGCCTAACCCTACAACAGCAAGTATTCATGGTGTAGTGTCTGCTAGGAAGATCGCTGCTCATAACTGTTACTGGGACTCTATTTACCTCTTGCATTACTACTGCCTCCATAACAGTGGACTCTCACTTCTTAAAGGGGAAGTAGTTATTTTCGTTTCCAATTACTTTTGCCTACAAATTGTTTGCAGAGCAGGGTACGCTATACTATTGTGAATCCATAGTTTGCTGCCCCTTACTCCTTATTATTGTTTTGCGGCATATGATGGTAGAGCTCCAAACTCTCCGCTCAAGACTCTGAGAGTGACGCCCGGTGTCGACCCTGACGCCGTACCCTAGGGAACCCCCTAAAACTGTATAGCCTCCGCAGCTGAGATTCATCCGAATTGCTACACTGCATTACAGTAAGAGACTGTAATCCCGAGTGTGGCTCGGGGTTACCGCTTATGGTACTGAAAATTAACCCCGAGCCACACTCGGGAATACCGCCATGGAGGTTAGTGGGTGTATTCAAACATTATTTTGGGCTATACTCGTCTTACACGACGAGTATAGCCCAAAACCTATGTTTAAACAGAAAAAGTAGGGGGTCGTCTTATACGCCCAGTCGCCTTACACGCCGGCAAATACGGTACGGCTCATTTTAGCAGATGTATGGCTGGAGTCAGTCGTAGAGAGCCGAAGTGAATAGCCGAACGCCTTTCGGTTTGGTTATTCCTTTCGGCAGCTTTGTGAATAACCCTCTTAGTGATTTTGCAATGGGTTTGTGGGGGTTGAGAAAGATCTTTTCAAATACCTTAGACTTTTCTTCTGCATAGAAATTATCCCTTATTGTTTTATCTTTTTTTAGCCAGAAAAAAATAACAGAGAGTGAAAAAATATAACAAAAAAATCAAAAGCAATAGTAAATAATATAATACACAGAAAGAGAGAAAAAAAATATAAAACACTAAGGCAGGGGTAGCCAAACTCCGGCCCTCCAGCTGTGGTGAAACTACAAATCCCATGATGCATCTCTCTCCGGAAGTCATGTCTGTGGCTGTGAGAATCTTGCAATGCCTGATGCGATTTGTAGTTTCACCCCTGCACTAAGGGGTAGAATTATAAAGCTGTAAATATGGGATTCGTCAAACCTTCACTGCAAAAAAACACAAACAAGGGGCGCCTTTCCTGGTGCAGACAAATTTATTAAGATCAGGATAGATGGTAAATATAAAACATACTCACAAAATTCATGATAGAAATATAAAAAGTATAAAAATTAAGTCCATGGACCATGGAGAAGTCAATGAAAGCTGCACAGCCGTGTATATGTGTCAGCAGGAGACTGTGTGATGTGTGATGACGCGTTTCCGGGGTCACGCCCCCTTCATCAGATGAGTCCATGGACTTAATTTTTATACTTTTTATATTTCTATCATGAATTTTGTGAGTATGTTTTATATTTACCATCTATCCTGATCTTAATAAATTTGTCTGCACCAGGAAAGGCGCCCCTTGTTTGTGTTTTTTCCCTAGATTTACAGTCTCCCTGGCTGATTTGGGGCAGCATCCTACAGACAAACATTTTCAATGTTTTTAAACGTGTTTTTTATTTACTCATTCACCAATTTTTAATTCAATCATCAATTTCCAAACAGACTTTGATTCTAATTTTATTCATGTGTACATTGGTTTGTACTGGTTGAGCAGTCCTCTCTGGCGCTTTTTTGTTTTTTTCTAAACCTTCACTGCAGGTGAATCTTCCTGGTGCATGTGTTTTCATTTACAGTGACTCATAAACTGTAACTGTAATGTCTTCCTTGTATTGTAAATAATCATATAATAATATTGTAATAATCATACATTTTAGACTGGGGTGTCTGGAGACTTTGCATAATTCTAAAGGGTGCTGTGTCTTAAAAAATGGTTAAAAAAGCTGGTTCAGTCCAATCAGTTCAGATTACCTCCTACTTCCCCTTTTCCCTCTAAACTTATTTTCCTGATTATTTTTTATTTCTATTTTTCTATCCCTTAATATTGACTGCAAGTAAATTTTCCCTAGCAACAAAAACATAAGGAGAGCAATGTGTTTTTGATATCAGTTTGAGATGCTTTTGCAATTATTCAGAAATCATTACAGGTGGAGTTGACTTGCATATGACCTGCTGCAGTTGCATTCTCATAGGTTTGTATGGAGAGAAAAAGCAGTGAACAACTAATTCAGCCTTCAATGTGGCATCCTTCGATGCCACATTGAAGGCTACATAAGAAAATCAAAAGAAGCCAGTCGAAAAATGTTCAGGGGAACAGTGATGGCAGCCTGCCACTATCAAAATACAACAGTCCAGCAGGAGATTTGTCCACTCACTATTTCGATGGAGGATTCTGCTACGTTTTTATATATACAAAAAAATATAACAGTGTATGTCCATCTTAATAATAGTCTGACATGGAATTTCATACTTACAACTGTTTGCATGCTGTAAGGTGGAATGACAGCTGAACGCAGATAAGAAAGGGAAGAGCAGAGAAATATCGACTCATGATGATCAGTGGAAGTCCCACAATAAATGTATTAAGTGCTTTTAAATCTTTTTTTTGATTCCTGGCCCACCTTGCACGTGATGAGGGATACTCCACTCTATACCCCCTTGGTTTGCTGGAAAACAGCTTATCAATCTTTTTCTAGCTTTGCTATCTCCTTGAACATCCACTGACACTATCTTTAATGTTTACGCTGTCTTTTCCAGACCCAATTTATTACACGATGGGAAGATGAGATACGGCTCACACCAGCACAAATAGATAAATAAAATACTTTGCCCACACACAATCACTTAGTAATCCCTATTTATAAACAAGTTCTTAATGGGGAATCCTGCTTTCCCCTCCAGGATCTGAAAACCCTTGCTTTTTGGATGAAGTGCAAAGTAATGCTTTTAGAGCGTAGCTTTTTTTTTTCTCCTGCCCAGTGGCACATGGTTGGCCTCACCATATCACCAGCTGAAGTCTCTGGGTTTTTAGAGACAGATTCAACTATTCCATTATCTTCGTTCTTTACCGCTCGCAAGGGACTTCCGCACATTAACTGTTTTTTAAATCTGAATGTACTTGAACAGGGCCCCTTAGACATGCCATCTCTCTGATGTGTGCCTTGCTTAACTCCCCACCTAGTTACTACACTGCCTCTTACTTGATGGGAAATTGTAACAGGACCTCACTCCTGACCAGCAGGCAAGGGTTTTGTCAACCCTCATAAAGTGTCATTGTGTACCAAACATCAAGAGTCAGGGTTTAAAATCCTCACCAGGTGGTATAGGACACCTTAGATTTTACATATGATGCTTCCTTCATTGCTGAACTTCTGTTGGCATTGTGGTCTGGACACCAGGACCATACTGCAAAAAACCCAGTTATACAATCCTTCTGGGAGGCAGTCAGATGGATTTCTCAGAACTTCATGGACTTCCAGATCCTGCTGGACATGGCCTTTTTTCTATTGCATCATAACACTTTACCCAAACAATTGTATAGAAAATCTGTCTTGCCACTTTACTAATACACCAAGGAGCTGCATTGTAGCTCGCGGTATACTGAGCTTAGGGTAACGGGAGGACGCTAGTTTGTGTCCTCCCGTTACCCTAAGGAAAACTATGGGGAAAAACACTGACCCCATAGTTCTCCTTTAAGTAAGGGTATACATGAGAGATTTTGGCAGACTTGGCTATATTGGAGTTATCCACTACCTCAGAATACAGGGCGAGGCCAACGCGTAGTCAGGGTCTCTGCCACTGTAACATGAGTGTAGAACAGGACCTCTGCTTACTTTATCTTTTTCTCTCTGCTCCCTACCCCTTGGTAGAGCCTCACCTAGTATTTTGCAGGAAAAAGTCTGACGCTGACAGTTTTTTCTCCATTGACAGCGGCTTCTACAGGTTACACAGATGGAAAAGCCTCCTCGCTGTGTAACCTGTCTTGGATGGGCGCTGCCTGGTAATTACAAGCAGTGCTGTATCCGGCTTTTGACAGTTAAGTTACACAGCAGCGGCCTTCCCACTGCTAACCTAACTAGTGAGGCAAGAGCTGCAACAGCCTCTACTCTATGTTAGAGGCTTGAGCTCTGTGGATGGTTTGGACCAATGGCAAAGCACCATTGGTCCAAGCTGTCCAATAAAAAAACCCCACTGAGGACATAGTTTTCGATGTCTCATCAATGACGAACAAGTGAGGGACAGGGAGGTTCCTCCCGGTCTCATCCCTATCTCCTTCACACTAGCTTGGTGATCAGGGTGGGGGCAGGGCTTCATCTGGATAGGGGCAGGGCTTCATCTGGATGGGGCAGGTCTTTGGCAGGCTGGGGCATGCCTCACCCAGCACCAAAGGTACTGCACGACACTGCCACATTGTATTTGTTATTGCTCTAAAGAGCCTATAGGTGGTGACAAACATCCTTTTATGTTATTTGTCTTTACACAAGTTCCTGAGTTCGGACATACAATCCCAGTGCTACTTTGCTGCCAATACTGCAATTTTTGTATGCCTTTGTATATCTCTGCATATGTAATATACCATGTCCTATTGCTGTGCAATTTGTTCTTTGTTTTGACCTTTTCATGTTTATTCAGTGCCTGTAAACAAAACCATAAATTTAAAAAAAAAAGAAACCGGTTCCAACTCTATTACATGTCCTCTTTCCCAAAGTCCCAAACAAGGGCTGGCAATGTGATGAAGGAATAGGATTACTCCTTTGTGCGTTTTTAATTGCCCCAAACTTCAGGTGTTTTGGAGAGCAGCGAGAACCATTTGCCAAACTTTCACCTGATCACCTATACCAGAAGAACCTTCCTTCTTCCTTTATCATTATACTACTGCTCCAGGATGTTGGAGAAATAACCACTTATCATTCACTTGATAAATACTGCCAGGGTATGTATTTGATGTTTATGGTGCAGACCGCAGCCCTTGACAGTGGCACAGTGGTTTGCTAAAAATTAATTATATGGAGGATCTCATGTCCACCTTGAATGGCAATGAGGAAGCATTTCTGCACCAGTGGTTTGTCTGGCTAGACTTCACAGCCCCGGAAACACGTTAGCCATTGGGCTGTGTAAGCCATGGATTACATTCTTGTATGTATGGAACATGATCAACAACTGTATCTTCTCCAAGATCATAAATAAATAAAAACTACTATATTAAAAAAAAAACTGGGCTATAGTGTAGCAAGTCCAAATATCCAGGCCAGGATGTGTTTGAGATAAGGGCCATTTGATTCAGCTTATTTGTAGTATGATGAGGGTGATGTGATCAGTACTGCCGATAAGCTTACACAATTTAAGTTCTTACATCAGAGAACCAAATTTCTTCAACTTCTTCCCAGGATTCAGCGGACAAGGTCTTGAAAAATATTTAACCCATTTTTTGTAAGTAGAGTAAAAAGGTCTATGGTCTTTGCCTGCGGCTGTAGTTCAAGTTTGTTGCAGCTAATATCCCCAGGCAATGCCCCTCACTGGTGAAAGCAAAGACAGAAACAGACTGGAGAACAGGGACCAAAGCAAAAACAGCAGATTGGCAAACCTGGAGGTGAACAGAAAGCAAGGACTAGATCAGACATTTGCCAAGTGCAATCCCACTGAGGCAGAAGGACCCCAATAGTTTGCACTGGAACAGAAGATTGCTAGGGATGTAAACAGACAGAAGCAACCCAACAAATTGCAATGGAATAGAACATTGCTAGAAAAAACTAGACGAAAGATAGGCTAGATACTAGGACATGTGGATGTCACAAAGCTGGAGCTGAACACACAGAAACTTGTCAATGGAAATGGCCTGAACACACCAATAGATGAACAGCTCTACACTGCTTGTATACACACAAAAAAAAGGTCACATAGTGGTCTCTGGGATCCTATAGTGTGGGTAGCTCTTGGAGTCATACTTGCCCCTTTGTAGTAGACACACTTTGGACTGTTTTTGTTTGTAGTAGACATATTTATACTTGGCCCTGCCCCTGCATTACATTTGTGGAAACTGTCTTAAAAGCAATTAAGTGAGATTTAAAGGACTACTACAGCTTAGGTAAAGGTGGTCTTTAACCCCTTCATGACTGAGGCCCTTTTTTCCATTTTTGCACCCATGTTATATTCCACATTTTAGGCCTGAAAATGACGTAAAACCCCCCAACATTATATATTATAAAGCCCCCACCAATGTGCAGAGAGCCTGGGCTTATACTTACCTTTTATCCCTGATCCACCAAACTTAATGCGGCCAAGGACTAAGCCAACTCCTTTTCATTCTACATATGCTCTGTGGCCCTACCAATTCCTGTAGATAGCCATACTCCTAGCAGGCTCCAGCCATTGCCAAGAATATGACTCTCCCCAGTATAAACAGGCTGCACACAATCGCAATCACACACACACACACACACACACACACACACTAAAGAGGGGTCAACCGGTCAATGACAACTGTAGAAATGCTAAATTGGGGCCAAAGGTAAATATAAGCCAGGCTCTCTGCTTAGGGCAGTGGTTCTCAACCTTTCTAGGGCCGGGACCCTTTTGGTAACATTTGCCAAGTTGTGGTGACCCCCAACGGTACAATTTAGGGATGACATGGCTACTGCAACATCTGGCGGCGTGGCCGGAGAACTGACACTGCTGCGCTAGGAGAGGGCTGAGGAGGACTCTCACCTAGCATTAGAGAGTGATGAGAAAGTGTTTCTCTCCCGGGCGGCTGGGAGCCGCTAGGCGACCCCTGGCAAATCATTTAACCCCCTACGGGGTCACGACCCACAGGTTGAGAACCGCTGGCTTAGGGCATTGAGGACTTTATTAAAGCAGAACAAAAACTATCCTATATTTTGCAGCTGAAGACAGTAGTCTATATAGATCTTGAGTTGCCATGGTGCTACATGTGATCAGCTAAAGCAGCAACCATAACAGTTATCACCAGACGAATGCTTTCAAAGTAGCATACAATGAGCATGTGCTAATAGACAAAATGCAGAAAATAATATTGGTATGTTGGATTTAGGGTTTGATAATGTGCCAGAGCCTACAGCGCAGATCAATCAGGATCATTGGAATTACTTCCATCATGAACCAGCTGAGCAGATGAGGAAGTAGGTTCAGGGTTTGTTTTTCCTGTCCAATGAATGCATGCCACCACCATGGTGTTGTCCAGGTAGATCCTAATTAGGTGGTCCTTCAACAGGTTGGTCCAATGATGAAAGGAGAGCCGTATCACAAGTTCTATAATGTTGAGTGGGAGATTAGACTCATTTGACAACTCTCCTGCCATCCTCCCACCTCTTCCCCAGCCTTAGATCTATTGTCAGGATCGTCCAGAACACAAGAAGAAACGACAATCAACTCAAGTGCCGGATCCCAGAGCCACCAAGACAGGGATAGTCAGTTTGTCCAGCGTCAGTACCGACAGGATGCTGTGTTGCAAAAGCCTGGAGTGAAATTGGGCAAAGGGAACTGCTTTGAAGGAAGCTACCATCAGCCTCAAAACCTTCATGCAAAAGCAAAGGGTAAGACATCTTCTGCATTAAAGAA